GGAATGCTGTACTACGAACTGCTCAAGCAAGGCCACACCGTCATCGCTCCCTATTACGCTGGTCAGCTGCAGAAACTTCATGACAACGCTAGGCCTCACATAGGTAAAGAGACCCGTGCAAAATTGGAGGAGCTAGGCTGGGACACGGTTCCACATCCACCCTATTCACCTGATATTGCCCCCTCAGATTACCACTTGTTCCGGCCCCTCAAGTCTTCCCTAAGTCTTCCCTAGCAAAAAAAACGATTCGTCAACTATGACCACCTTGAACAAGTGGTCGGTGACTTCTTTGACTCCCAATCTCCCCAGTTCTGGGAGAAGGGAATCGCTGACCTGCCCGTTAGGTGGGACAATGTTATGACTAACGATGGTTAGATTAGCTTGCATTGTTTGCTGAGTTGTAAAATAAAACAGAAAAAAATCTCAACCCTATCAAAACTTTTTGATCAACCTAATACTTGAAACACATTCAGCACTATTTCCCTGGTCAGTCACCCGCTGCCATCCCCGGGATATACAGGTGGGGAGAAGGGGCAAAAAAAACTTTTTTCTTCCTTGACTTTCGAGGCGCTATAAGTTACACTTTATTAAATTCTTATCGGACATTTCTACCACCATATTAAAGAGCATATTAAATACTATCATGATACTCCGCCACAGCCTTCTGGAGGAGCGCCATCGAGAGATTCTGCCACGCGACCGTGAGTGGGTGCCTGAGTTCAGCGAGATCGTTTTCTCCGCCACTGTAGACCACCCTATTGAACTCCGCCCGAACCAGGTAATTGAGGGGGTTTAGGTCAGGTGACCTGCTTAGATATTCCACCTTCTTCAGGTACTCAACGCCCTTCCATTCCAAGTAGGCGAGAGTTTTTCCAACGCCCTTCGATTCCATGTAGCAGTACAAAGTTTCCAAGAAGGTACGGGCGACGACATGTGGAGAGGATATTCTTCTCGAGTTGCTCGATGTAACCGCCAGCGCTCACCTTCAGTCCGGGGCCACGAAGAAAATATCGGTCTTTCCATTCCAGGTACGTCCGGTCCCCACCATCAACTGGCGCCT